AACATATATGAGAGCAGCAACAAAAGTGCTCCCCCACTGATAGATAAACAAAGAAGCATCAGCTGGTGAGGAGCGAAATCCGAACTCGCTCAAGGATGATGTAAATTTCTGGTACCAATTACGGGAGGCCTGCTTTAGCCCATACAAGGACTTATGGAGGCGACAACCACGTGTCTCTCCTGGCTCCCGAAATCCCTGGGGAATCTCCATGTAGACTTCCTCATCGAGGTCACCATGTAGAAATGCATTGTTGACATCCAGTTGATGTAGATGCCAACCCTTGCTTACTGCGACAGAAATGAGGCATCGGACTGTTACCAACTTCGCGACAGGTGAGAAGGTGTCATGAAAATCCAGCCCCTCTATTTGGGTATACCCTTTTGCTACCAAGCGTGCTTTGAAGCGCTCAATGCTGCCATCCGGATAGTACTTGATCTTGTAAACCCATTTGGCCGCAATAGCACGCTTTCTTGGTGGTAGTGACACCAAGCTCCATGTCCCATTGGCTTCTAATGCCTCGATTTCCTTAGCCAGGGCAGCACGCCATCTTGGGTCACGCATCGCCTGAAGAAAGGTGGTAGGCTCTTCACCTCGTGTAACGGCTGCAAGGAAAGCACAATATTCTTGTTTAAATCCATCATATGAGACAAATGATGATAGAGGGTAGGTAACAGGGGGAGGAGTGCTTCCCTTATCTCCTGGAAGATGGGTATCATAGTCGGCCAGGTACTTTGGCCGCGCTCGCGCGGGATCACTGCGTCGAGGAGGGGGCGCTTCGGCAGCTGAATCAAGAGCAGGAGGAGTGACCTCCTGGTGAGGAGTTGACGAAGGTGACGAAGGCTGAGAACGTGTGTGCTCTCCACGATCCATTGGTGAGTCATCACACGAGCTGGGCGACATGGCCTCTGCATGCAACGTGGCCTTTGCATTTGGTTCTGCCGCCTTAGTTTGAGGAGATTCCTCATGAAGAGATGAGGCATGATCATTATTCATCCTCCCCACCTGCCGAACGGAATCCTCAAGGCTTGAATTCATTTAAATTGTCGGCCGAGGGATCCAGTGAAGTTCCCGCTGCATGTCTTTTTGGAAAGGAAAACTCTTCTCATGGAATTGGACGTCCCGAGATGTGATGACACGACGGATAAGTAAATCGTATATACGATAACCCTTTTGAGAAGTGGCATAGCCAAGGAACACGCCGACCCGGCCTCGTGCATCAAATTTGCCAAGATGACTATACGTGTCCTTGTAGTATGCGAGGCACCCAAAAATACGTAAGTGACGATAGGCAGCAGGTTTACCCAAGAGGATCTCGAAGGGAGTCTTCCCTGTTGCAGTAGTGGGCAACCTGTTGATGAGATAAACCGCAGTGAGAATACATTCACCCCAAAAACGAAGAGGAAGGCTAGCCTGGAACCGCAAGGCCCGAGCAGTGTCAAGAATGTGCCGATGCTTGCGCTCAACAACTCCGTTTTGCTGCGGAGTATCAGTACAAGATGTCTGTAACAAAATGCCTTTGCGAGTATAGTAGTCACGCAATAGCTCGGTGTCGAATTCAGCTCCATTATCTGCCTGAATTCGTTTAACAGCCTTTCCAAACTGTGACCGAACCATCTGGCAAAACTGTAACAGCTGGCGGCTCGCCTGGGACTTATAACGAAGTAGATAAACCCAAACACCACGTGAGAAATCATCCACGATAGTTAAGAAATAGTATGCACCACTCAAAGAAGCAACTTTATAACCTCCCCAAAGATCCACATGAATAAGTTCAAAACAACTAGTGGTCTTAATAGCACTGTGCGGGAAAGGAGAGCGTGACTGTTTAGCTCTTGAACAAGAATGACAGGGTCCATCATTATTCCGAAATAAAGATAAAGACAACATGTTGCCAACATAAGAAAGCTTTGCTGGTGAAGGGTGTCCTAAACGAGCATGCCAATCAACTGCAGAATCCATATCCCGTTGCTGAGCTGCGCAAGCTTGCGCCCTCCCATGCCCAAACAAACGTAGGTAATATAAACCATCCTTGAGCTCACCTTTCCCAATCAATTTCTTGGAGCGTAAGTCCTGAATGACGCAAAATCCATCAAGAAAAATCAAGGCAACACGATTATCACGAGTCAACCTGCTCACTGATACTAAATTGCACCGAAACTCAGGGACATGGAGAACCCGCTGTAGAGTGAAACCGGGTTGTAATTCAACCGAACCAACAAGTTTAACCGGGATACTAGCCCCGTTGGGAATACGAACAGGTTGATTATTAACAGGTAATTCTGTATTCGACAAGAGATGCCCATGCATAGTGATGTGATCGTTGCACCCGGAATCAAGTAACCATTCAGAACTGTCAGAAATATTACCTGCCATATGAGCCGCGGGATCATCCGAAGGTTGATCGGAAAGCTTGAAGAACTGTTTGAGCTGCTGAAGTTGAGCGACGGTAAAACCAGCCACTGGACTCTGCTCGGCTTCGACTTGAGAGGCCTTGGGTTCGCGATGCAATCCATCACGGCTACTTTCGCCAGCGGCGCGGCCTCGACGCTGAGTGCGATCACCCCCTTTGTCGCGAGAGCGTTCCCGATCACGGTCACGGGGTGGATACCCAATTAATTCATAGCACGTTTCACGAAGATGGCCCTGCTTGTTACAGTGCGTACAACGAAGCTTCTCACGCTCGCCAGAGCTGCGTTCTCGATCCCTTGTCTTGTCATGCTCGCCTTGAGCAACAAAGGCAGCAGCCTCGGGCTGAACTTTTCGGTTCTGTGTGATGAGCTTTTGCTGTTCAGCATTTAAAATGATGTTAAATGCTTCACCCAAATTAGGGATAGGCTTCATCGCCAGAACTTGAGTTCGGACACCACCAAAAGCCTCGTCGAGGCCCATAAGGAAGTCAAAAACTCGTGCACTTTCTTGTTGTTCACGAGCGCGGCGGGAGACGCACACACACTGTCCGCAGGTGCAGATCAGGGGAGGATTAATGGCAGAAGCTTCCTCCCATAGCGCCTTCAAGCGCGTGTAAAAGGTCGAGACAGGCCGCTTCTCTTGTTGAAGAAGCGAGATGAGGCGGCGCAGTTCATAGGCGCGCGCCGAGCTTCCTTGGCCGAACCGCTCTTGCAGGTCCACCCAAATAACACGAGCACTCTCCGCGAAGCGAATACTGCTGCGGATCTCCTTGTCCATTAAGGTTTTCAGCCAGCCTTTGACCATGGCGTCACAACGGACCCAAGCTCGTCGTGCCGGCTGATCGGCAGGCTTGACGAGAGTACCATCCACAAAACCATATTTATTCTTGGCGAGCATGGCATCCTTTATATCGAGGACCCATTCGCCGTAGTTCGAGGCAGTCAAAACATCACCCACGAGCATATTCCCGGGGCCATCAGACTTGTGCAGTTGAAGCTCGTCGGGCAACCCATCCTCCGAGTCCGACCCCAAACTGCTCGATGCGGACTGCTTCTCACCATTCTTCACGACGGAACCAGTATCATCGTCGTCACTCATGATGAAGCGGCTAGATCACCGGGAGCTTATTGCTCTGATACCATGTAAAATAGTGCGGAATTGTAAATGAGACTTTGATTTACGTGGTTCTTCCTCACGTTGTGTGAGGCTTACATCCACGGGAAACCTTTCTATGATTTTATTGATTGATCGATCGGCTGTTTACAACAAGCCGTCTCTTTATACCCTATGTTACAATTATCATCTAGGATTACAGAGTTTTCACAATGAGTGACGAGATGGGAGGCCAATGCCGACGTGGGCTTCGTCTGTGCATGGGCTGCATGCGTCTCGTGTGGGCCGCATGTGGAGCTGGTCACCAACTCTCGGCCCAATATCGACTGTAGGAGAGGAGAGAGGGGATTGGAAGCTGAAGGGGAGCGAGGGTTTGGGAGTAGCAATGATGGTCATGAGATGGATTGAATTATTGTGTTTAGATTCTTTAGAAACATATCGCCAACGGAAGGGAAGTTTTGAGACTATTTGATTATTTTTTCTAATTTTTTATTGTTTTTATTATTATAATTAATTTAAATTTGAGTTAAAAATAAAATAAAATTCCACGTCAGATACCACATCAGTTCTGACTAGACTTTCTGTTAAAAACTAACGGTCAACGCCTGTCAACTATAACGGAAAAATAGTTTAGGACACAAATATCATATTAGATACTTTAGACACAATTGACACAAAGTTAATAGTTCGGAATTCCTAACGGTATTAGCCCTTAATAATACCTATCTTTACTCTCCCAAACCAAGACTCAGGTCCGGGTTCCACACGATTCTACTCTCCCTCCGTCCCTCAGTCCCCAAGTCGCCAATCTCAAACCTTATCCAGCAAGGATAACTTTTGCATAGGCTCCGTGGATAAGTTTTTTCGTTTAAATATGCTTTTTCCCCATTGAGAACGTAACTAGTAGTAGGGGTTTCGGTATCTTCTTTTAGCTCGAACTACCTAACGCCTTCTCCCCAAAACAAATACATAACTAACCCCAACTCCGGCTATTAACGGTGGTAGCATTGGTGGTTTCGAGGATTGTCACGTATCCTGCGATTTGGGGAAGGGCGGAGTGCTAGAATTCGCTGTTGAAAGAAGTTCAGATTTTACGAATGGGAAGGTGTTTCAACCTAAGGTCTATTGTTGGCCTACTCCAATACCATGGTACCAGAAGTTGCAGCGTATTTACGATGGAAGCTACGTTTGCTGGGCTCATAGCAACAACATCTTTCATCGGTTTCGGGAATGACTCGCTTAATAACTGGTGTTTGGCGTAGGTTCTAGTCCTTAAGCTTTAAAGCTTAAGGAGTTTCTTAAACTAATCCTGGCCATTAGATTAAAACGTGGTAGTTAGGGATTAGTTAGTAGTTGTTAATTAGGTAGTAATTAATGAGGGTAATTAAGGTATTATAATAAAATAAAAAGTAAAAGTAATATAATAAAAAAAAAGAGCAATTAAAGTTTCCTTCGGCTGTAGGTTGTTATATATATATAATATAATTAGGTTTTTTTTCCCGGCTGTAACTATAACCTTGTTCCATCTTCAACTGCCGCCGGTGTGTTCTTTGTTGCAGCCCTAGCTCTCAGCCGGCCGGTGGATTTTCCGTGCGGCAACAGTGACGACGCCATCCCAAGCTTCACTGTGCCCATATTCCTGACAGTACTTTGGTCGGACGTGCACCAGCAGCTTGCCGGCGGCCATAGCTTTCCTCTGCAGCAACACCACCGACGTCGGCGTGAAGCTCCCCTCACTTGGACGTCGGACGTGAGTTCCTGCTCTGGTCGGCATCTTTGACGTCAAGTTGTATTTGCTTTGACTTGTGAAGATTTGGTATCGATTTATATTTTATTGGGTTTCAAACGATAGTTGTCAATTATCTTTATTGGTTTTCAAATATTAACGTCATTATCAATGATTCCATGGACGTCATTTTTCTTGATATGGTGTACGTGGTAGTTATTAATAGTTTTTATTTTGATTATTAATTTTATTTTGGGTCATTATCTAACATTTTATGTATTGGTGAACGTTTCCAGTTGTAGGAATGACTCGAACTAAAAGCACGTCACGTAAGACGGTTTCTCATGAAGATAGAAGTACAGTACAACCTTCAGTAGTAGAGAACAATAATGATGGGAGATTAATTATCAGGTGCAGCATGTCCCAAGTGTTGAAGATGGTTAAGAATATCAGTTCACATTGTATTGAACAACATCCCACCTTCCTCTCCCTCAGTGGACATCCGTACCGGCGCTTGCCGTCCCTCCTGATAATTACCAACATCGATGTTGCCATTATAGTGTCCCTCCAAGTTATCATCGAAAGGAATTTCATTCATATCTGCATCATTGATTATATCAAATATTTCGTTACCACTAATTCTCCCACATCAACCAGAACAATACTTATAATCAACCATCATTGAGCATTATTAACCATATATCGTAATATCATCAACCATCTCCCCACTATTATCAACATTTTAAAGAAAATTTGAGATGCTTATTAACACTATTATTAATCAATCTCAACATTATTATTAACATTATTATATGTGTTATTAATCGCAAAAGGGGAAATATCCCATTTTATAAGGTTATTAATAATATAATAATCAATTATTAATAAATGTACTTGTTGTTATTAATTTAGTCGAATTCTATTTTTAAACGAACATATTATAAATATTATTAAAGGTGTTACTATTACTAACGTTTTAGGGCAAATTGGAGATGCTTCACTTGCCAAAAAAAACCCTCCACGTGTTATGCTAATTATTAATCAATCACAATATTATTATTAATATTATTATAGGTGTTATTAATAACAAACGGACAATGACGAACCAATCCCAAAAACAACTAAGGTTATGTTTTTCCCCAGTTAATGGGATTAACAAAGATTTAACCCGAAGATATTAATATTTACCCACAAGTTGTCAACAATATATTATATTGCACGCATAAATGGTTATCAACCAGATTATCAGTTATTATTATGCATGCGACATACCATTATCAATAAAACAAGGCAGTATTAATGTTTGTATTCATCACACGACAACATACTGCAGGATAGACCAACGCAAAACAATATCTCCATACCAATCTGCAGCGGCCATGACGGTTTCATGTTGCCTCAAGATAGGCGATGGATTCAATGACTGGTGGTGCGACACGGAGCAGTTGGTAGAGACGGCGGGGGCCGACGAAGATGCTATTTTAAGCAACGTCACCGGAAGCGGGCTGTCAGGGGACGGAAGCTACGTTCTCTTCGGGAACTGCCGATATGATGGCGTCGAAGTCTCGAAGATGGCGGCGATGGGTACAAGTCTAGGGTTTGGGAGGAGAACCTTTTTTCTAAAATGGAAACATGAGAAGTTACAAGGTGGAGACCCTCTTCTGGCTAAATTCCTTTTTTATTATTAATGATACTAATTAATTATTATAATCACTAAATTATCCTTTAAGGTAGTTATTCAATCATTAACTCTCGCTTTCTCTCTCCTTCTCCTATTGGCCAGCAAATGTTTAAGAAACTCCTTAAGCCTAGAGGCTTAAGGATTTACAACTTAATTAGTCTTTGCATATTATTGGATGAGGATAACACATTGGTCTTCAATAACATCGTAAACCAATAAAGAGCTATATATAGAAGAACGGAAGCATCTCATCTATGTTTTGTTGGATTTTTTTTCTTCTTCTTCTTAAGAATAGAAGAACGGAAGCTCGTTGATGGAGTTGGAGATTGGTCATCATTGAAAAACCCTAGGCGGTGACAGGCTTGATCCTAGCTCAGAGACTGAAATGAAGGACAATGTCCTTTGGCAGAAATAATTATCCATCAGTAGGAGGGAAAGGATCTGATCAACTGGTATGGAATTGGTATTTATCATGGAGGGGGTCATTTGCGCGTTGGAATGATTTGTGTTAATGTATGGTTTTAGCAGTTGATTACTGTAAGTGAATTATGAGTACTTTTAATTAATTTTTTTCGTTTATTATTTTTATTGTTAGAAAATAAACAAAATTCAAAATTAATTTTTTATTCCCTGATAGCTTACGTGGCAAGTGAGGTGGACCTTGACTAACGGTCAACTCGGTTGACCGTCTAATTAAATGGTCAAACCCGCCTCCGGGTCAAATAAGAAAGTATGATACATAGTTTAGGCCAGGATAGCAATTTCCGATACCACCGACCAATGTAGAAAGTTTGTCTATAGTTCGGGCCAAATTAAGGTATTAACCCTACTTTTAAATTTTAATACTCTTGATGAGATGATTATGCTTATGCGTTATCCCGATTCTTTTAATTTGTTGAATGAATTGCACCAGCACCTCAATTTTGAGTCCGCCAACAATATCATGGTCTCAAAACCATACTAGTAGTTGACCCGTATTTATAGGTAGCAAATCGATTGGATCCATGGATAAGAGGATTGTATTGGTGAATCCATGGATCATATGAATAAGATCAAAGAGATTGGTAGATTGGATTATTGCCTATGGGTTCATGTGGCATCTAAATATTGGATCAATATAGGGGTGGGCAAACGGTTCGGTAAACCCGAACCGAACCGAAATCGAAATAATGCTATTCGGTTCGGAATTTGGAAGGAAAATATTGATATTTCGGAAACCAGGGTTCTTTCAACCGAACCGAAATTCCGAATTTCCGACCGAAAAACCGAAATACTTCAATTGCAACCTCCAAATGATGGATTTTTATATTTGTAGTTGTTTTTATACTTAAATATTTGGAATGTTTTATGACTTATGTGTTGAAAAGTTTGGTTTTATCATTGATTATGCATATAATTGCATATTTATGGTTTATATTAGGAGTGAAAAATAATTTAAAACTGAGAATATACAAGTAGCCTCACAAATTCGGTTTTGTGTTAAAAATCGAACTGAACCGAATTATATTTCGGTTTAATCCGACCGAACCGAATTATAATTCAGTTCGAATTCGGTTTGAAGTTTGGGAGAATTCGGGGACCAGGTATTCATAACTTCGGTTCGATCGAAACCGAACCGACCGAATGCCCACCCCTAGATCAATATGTAAATTTTGAAAACTTTAGATACTAAAAATCATATTTTAATTACCAAAACATAATTTTTCAATGATATTTTCATAAAAAAAAATAAATTTTAGATACCAAAACACATGGTATAAAAAGTTTAAATATTAAGTTATAATTTGTCAGCAACCCATCAATCCACCAATATATTTGGATTTAGATCAAATGTATTGAATTTAAATGAATCGGATTAGTTAGATAATTTTTTATTAGTACTTTGTAATTGGTCAACGGTTTGAATTGGAAGGAAAGTTTACCAAATTTCAACTTTTCCATACCACACCCTTGCAGTTTGGAAGCCTTTCACTTAGGGGTCGTTTGGAAGTTGCGATTGTTAAATAGATGCATTGTTGAGAATGCATGTATAATATTATACATGTATTGTCGAATTTGATGCATTGTAGAATACAACGTTTGGTATGTATGATTGTGTATGTCGCATCAGCTAAAAGCTGAGACAAAACAATCTCAACTCAACTATCTCAACAATCACAACTAAAAGTTGAGATATAACAATCACTCAAAATGAGTGACAGTTTCTGTCACATCACAGAAACAATCCATGTATTGTTTCTGCTAAAAAAACAAAAAAACGATGCATAATAAACAATACATGCATAATGACAATCTCAACAAAACAATCGCAACTTCCATACAACCCCTTAATTCTCCGTTACAAGAGCAATTTTTGTTGATAGTGAGTGATGTTGAGAAAAGGAATTGGTTGTGAAGAGAATTAAAAAGCAATCGAATATGATTTGATGTTGTTCATTCAGTTTAGTTTTATACGCAAACAAAGGAGAGTCAGTTGAGAGATTGTAGGGTAGTGTACAAGATTGAAGGAGAGTGTACAGGAGACGTGGGAGAGATATGGACAAAAAAATAATAAGAATTATTATTCTTTTTCTTATTTTCCTTTAATATGCCCCGCAAGATGGAGGAGTTGTCAACGACTCCAATCTTGGACCGAAGAAGAAGAAACCGAGATGCTGGTAAGCATATCCGCGATTCGCTGTGCAGTTGGGACGTAGTGGACAGAGAGGCGGCCAGACTGGACAAGTTGGCAGACGAAATGGTAGTCAAGAGCCAAATGCTTCATACAAGAGTGGAACAATGGATTGGCATTGAAGGAGGTGGCACCGAGATTGTCCGAAAGAAGCATGGGAGACTCAGAGAGCGGTTGATGCAGTTCTGTTAATAGATTTTGAACCCACTCCAACTCAGAAGCGGCAGGAGCTATGGTACAATACTCCGACTTGGTACTAGAGCGGGCCACCGTTCTTTGTTTCTGTGACCGCCAAGAAATAAGAGTGGAACCCAAGTAAACCAGATAGGTTGATGTGGATGTACGATCCTCAAGATTTCCTGCCCAATCAGAATCCGCAAAGGCCGTGACTCACATAGGAAGAGAGGAACGCTGAATAGCCAGCCCATAGGAGATAGTACCACAAACATAGTGGAGCAAACGTTTGAGGCATTGCCAATGATGAGCAGACGAAGAATGCATATACTGCTAGAGCTTGTTGACGGTATATGCAATGTCAGGACGCGTGTAGACAAGATACTGGAGGGCACCGAGAACTTGGAGGAAGCGTGTAGCATCAGTGGGAGAGGTGCCATCATTCAATGTCAGAGAAACAGTGGAGGCAAGCGGTGTAGAGACCGGGGCAGCGCCCAACATATGGAAGCGGGAGAGGACATTAGTCATATACTTGTGTTGT